GGGGGGGGGGGGGGTGCGCAAAGCATTAGGTGATGCTCTCTCTAAAGTCTTTATTAATAGCCGTATTGCCTAAATGGTTCTTCAAATTCCATCAATAACTTTTCCAGAGCTACTCATATTATTCTCTTTTGATGTTCTATGCATTTTAAACGGTTCCTAATCATATTTGTGCAGCTTGTGGGACTATACAAACATTGTTATGAACTTTCTCTGTGGGCCTTCACCTTCAGATGGATCGTCTACTTCCCGTTATGATTGGCTTCGGTACTTTGATATAGTCATCACTGGCAGGTCATTTTCTTTCCTTTAAACTTTCTTGAATATGCAGATGTGATTCTTTTGGTGCCAACCATATGCAGCCTTGTGTAGGGCAAATGCCTGTCGCTGTTTCCTTATCTAGCTATTGTTTGCAGAGTTATGATCACCCTGCTGACAAACAAGTACTTGATTTTTATGCAGTGCAAAACCAGGTTTTTTCCATGATGAAAACCGTGCAAATCTTTTTGAGGTTGAGCCTGAGAGTGGCATGCTTATTAACACTGATAATGGAACTCCTATGGCACAGGTCAGTGCAGAAAAACTTAGTTTTCCCTATGCCACTGCCTTGTCCATTTTGTTCATGTTCTGATTTGTCTGGTACATTAGGTGGGAAGCACTTCTATAAGATTGCCGTTAAAGAGCTTGAAGAAAGGCTGCAGAATTTACCAGGTGCGGATGCAGATATAATTTGTGCTGCTTAGTTTGTGGAATTTGATGGTTTGTGTAAAATGACTGTATATTTTTCCTAATTTCTCTTCAGGGGGGGAATGTTGGCCATTTGCATAAATTACTCTCAATTGAGTCAAGCTCACAGGTATTTTGCAAATTTTATATAGTCTTACTCTTGATTACTACTTTTTACTTCTTTCAGCATTCTTTTTTGTTAATGATTTACAATGTACGAGCACAAATGACATATCTTTAAATACTCAATGTGGCTGAAAGAGACAGCACTTAGCTTTGTCAGGAGTCTAATTTCACTCTAGGAAGTTGTGGAGAGAAGGAGTAGTGGATTTACGTGGTGTTATCATGAGCTTGGTCATGTATCTAATTGGGTGACAAAGTATGGTGTTTAATTTGCATTTTTTATTTACTTATTGGGATGTAACACATTGTTCTCTTCAATTAGGTTCTTTATGTTGGAGATCACATTTACGGTGATATCTTACGCAGCAAAAAGGTTTTGGGTATGCATTCTCCATTTCATTTGTTCCTCTTGCTATTTTCTGTCTCTTGTTTTTCATATATTGGTAAGGAGTTCTAATAAGGCTTCCGAACAACTTTCTAGTTCATCAAACTACGTAAGCAACTAATACATCCAGTATGTTAGAGCCATATTAGAACAATTATGATAAGTGATACTTGTATGCGTCAGATTTAATAAAAATAATTATAGGTGGGCATTTACATTATTTGTGACCATGTGTTACTAAAATCACTAAAGCAGTTGACTAGCTGCTCCTATATTTAAGCACTGATAATGATATTAAAAGAATATTCCAAGATTTTCAAAATCACTATTTTCATGGATGGAAAGAATATTAATATCCTCCAAATTTTCTCCCCAGTAGAGTTTTCCATGGTCATGGCTATCTCATATCCAACCCGTAGCTGCTCCTGCATACCTCTTTCTTTCTTTTTTCCCCCTTTGCTTCTTTTAATAGTTTGAATTATAGACTTTAGAATCTTATGATGTTTGAGCAGGTTGGAGAACAATGCTTGTTGTTCCAGAACTTGAGAGAGAAGTTGAACTTCTCTGGGAACTAAGGGACATGCGGAAGGTATATAAACATATCCTTCAGCTGTTTCTGTGTACTCCATTAGATTTTTCTGTACTTCATATGCTTTTTAGCTCTTTATACGTGAGAACATAATCAACAAGAATAACTAATTTGGCTTTGGAGAGCCTTTAGGCACAACTGTTCCCTCAACGTTGGACACTTTAACAACAGCTTTACCGGTCTTTTTGAGGTTTATCCTTGATTGGTATCTTACTTTAATCACATTTTTTCTCTTTTCTTATTAATTAGATCTTTTGATATATTTATAATTGGAAATTTCAGGGAAAAGCAGTTTTGTTGTCATCTAAGCAAATAACTTCCCTCCATAGCCATACACTAGTTATACGTGAAAATATTTTTTTCCTCTATGGTCTTTGAGCTAATGATGAAGCAAATGAATTATGTGTAAATTTATGGCATTTTACTTTACACCCGAAAATGTCTGCTTTATGTTATGCTACATGTTGATGGTAAATGGTAATATAAATAATTGCAATTTCACATTATTTTGCAGCAACTTCAGTTACTGAGGAGTCAGCGTGATCACATTGAAGATGAAACTCACCATCTTAAGTGGTCCCTCAAGTAATAATTCTCTCCCTTTCATTTTGAATTGTAGAGCTCATACTTGCATGGTTTTTTGGTTTTGCTCTTTATCTGTGTGACTCTTTTCATCTCTAGTCCCTTCTGCTAAGAAAGTAGGAGAAGAGAAAATTGAGGAGATAAAGAAGCAAAATCAAGGTGGTTGGAGAATTCATAAAACCGACTTCATAGTCTTGGATTGAGATTTAGTTGATTGAAGCTGGTCGGAGAATGACAGAGAAGAAGGAAGCCCTTTATTTGTGAATACAGACTTTCTGCCTCCATGAGACCTTATTCCAGTGTGGAGTAGTCTTATGACTGAGCAGTAACAAACAAGTTTCCCTTAAGTTGAGATATAAGAAGCCTTTTGTATGTGCATCTTGGACGAAGATCTTTGTCTGTTCTTAGAACCATTTTGACAGAGGATACTCCTATAATTGTGTGAAAAGAAAACTTTTGTATCATCAGAAATCAGCTCACTTTTAATTTTCCGTTTGTCTTGAATCATTTCATGAGCTGTTATATGCTTCAGGTCTGAAGATACTAATGATACCAGCAAGGAGAAGATGCTGTCCGAGCTTGACAAGCTGAAGGTTAGTTATTTCAAGATCTAGAAAGATAAATTTCAACCAACAGAAACAGTCCTATATCTAGTCAATCTCTCTATCTTGATATCTGTAATGGGGTTTAACTAATCTGGTTCTAATGGTGTCATTTTATAGTCTCAAAGTGAGGAGGTCAGGCTCAGTCATCAGCAGGCACAACGAGAATGTCACCAAAAGGTATGATTGTTAAAGAGACATAAGTTTTTTCAAATGTGGGATTATTTCTTTAGGGAACAGTTCATCCTTGTCTGGAGAAAACTGTAGTGAAAAATCTTTTAAATAATATGTAGTAATACATTATCTGGCTAGGCTTGGTATTAATAAATTGATTTAAATTTTCAAAATAGATAAATATTATACTTTCTCTTTGCTTATAAAGTCATCAAACATTTACAGTTCCACAATGTCTGGGGACAACTGATGAAGACCGGCTATCAGAATTCTCGTTTCGCACATCAGGTACGATTAAATACTTGAGAAGTATCCTGCTCTTGGTGGGTTTGTGAAGTTCTCTTTACTTGAGAACTGAAGTTGCATTGTGTTGATTCATAGGTGGAGAGGTTCGCGTGCCTTTATACCAGCCAAGTGACAAACTTGAGCCTGTATTCCCCAGATAAGTACTATAGGCCGAGCGAAGATTTTATGCCCCATGAATTTGACATCCTCTCTATTTGAAGAAATCATATCAGCCAGGAGGCGCAGGCAGTGCATTTTGAAGAAGAGCTTTGCTCATTCTAACTTTTAGGTGCATCGACATGTTTTATATATTGAGTTCTTTGATTTAGGTCAGCTGGGAATGCAACCCTTTAAGTTGTACCAACGTAGAAAGTCTTTATGTTTTGTGGTTAAATAACTCAAATGTATCATATTTGTTTTGTGCTATCTCATATATGCACTCGCCTGATTGTGAATTTGCATTATATTCTCTATACTTTATAAGATTGCATGGATTTTACCGTGGTGGAATAGTTTGGATTTTCCAGCCTTAATCAGAATTTAGAGGTCACGAGTTCGAACCTATGACTAGGGGTGGCAAACGGGCGTGTCGAGTCAGATATTGGCGGGTCGAAAACAAATCATGCAAAAAACGGATAAATGATCCGACTCGACTCATATATAATACGGATAGAAAACGGGTTAACCGGATAATATGGATATACATATTATCCATGGCTTCTTGAATATGATTATTTTTGGGAGAATTTTTAGTTTCCCAAACTTGAGAAACCCTAAATTTAAGTCTTTATAAGTGTAATAGTTAAACCCATTAGTTATTTATTGCTTAGCTATAGGTTCTCTATTTTCTAAGTAGATAATAAGGTTCTTATCCATATTTGATCATTTTTTAAAAAATTAATTATCCAATCTATTTTTAGTGGATAATATAAATAAATAATAATTATTTTTTTTATCTATTTTGCCACCACTACCTATGACAAAGAAATTAATAAAAGCATTGCCCATCGTCTTCAAATTAGAAGAGAAAAAGAATTGAAGAAAAGAACATCCAAATCCTATAAGAAAAGATGATTCTACTGAATCTTCTCTTTACTATAAGGATATGTCAAATGGCTTTCATTCCTTTTTAAAAAATGCTACAGCATCACCATGTTCCCTGGGTTATGGATATGATTTTAGATTGTTGTTGTTCATTACAGGCTGGAAAATTCTGCACTTTTTAATCCCTTATCTTTGGCCCAAAATAGATAAAACATTTTATCATGTGATTTTGGAGCTTGTTGAAAATTCTTAAAGATTTCATCTTGCATAACACATCTTGGTGAGGGAATCACATCCTTTGACTTTAAGCAAAAGGATGAAGCAAATTCATTGGACAGTCCCCTCAAAGTAAGATCAATTTATGCTTGTTCCTATCAGGCTAAGCAGCAACAACAACAACAACAACAACATGGCCAATATAGTCTCGCAAGTAGGGTATGGGCAGAAGCGGACCCATGTGTATGGGTGAGGAGTCACCAGACCCCGTAAACTTCGGCCGAAATTCTGTATATATATATATATATATATATATACACACCTTAAAATGATTAATTTAAAACAGTTGACACCCTGAACACTAAAAGCATTTGGGGGCACTGGTTGAGCAAAATAATGTGCCCTCGTCCCGTAAAAATTATGGGTCCGCCTTTGGGTATGGAGAGGGTAGTGTGTATGCAGACCTTACCCCTATCTGGCGAGGTAGATGGGTTGTTTTCGATATACCCTCGACTCAAGAAAAGATGAAAAGGAAGAAGAAGAAGAGAAGAAGAAGAAGAGAAGAAGAAGAAGGAGGAGGAGGAGGAGGAGGAGGAAGAAGAAAGAGAGAAGACGGAGACAAAGGACGATAAGGAAAAAGAGAGAAAAAAGACAATAACAACAATAACAAGTAAAAGAAAAAGTAGGATCAAATAGTAACAATTCGGAAAATACGATACACGAAGCGAGCGAATAATAGACAAATACTAGAGAGGTCAAAGAATACGAAAAAACAGGAGCGCTACTAATACTACTAGAAAAGAACGGAAAACTCTAGACTACCTACTAGCCTTCTACACACTAATCTTTGACTTTCACGCCCTTCTATTAGGCTAAGCGAACCTATAAATACTTTTACATTTGATTTGTCCGCTTTAACTAAGCGTTTGCACGATATTTTGGAAAAAGGCCACATTATTAATTAAGAGAATCATATAGTACCTTATATGCAACTTCTTTTAATCAACTTTCATTGCTAACTTTGTTCGCACACGTAATATAATATTTTTAAAAAATCAAAATATATTTCCTCTTTTCTCGTGCAAGAACAATCTTAGCCTTTGAGTTGGAAGAATCCACACAATGATAGAAAGTCACACTTGGACACTAGAAGTAGAAAAATGTAAGGTTAGGCAGTAAGCTCAAATTGCAAGAAGGGACCATTATTAGGACTCCAGGAGAATAATTACAGCATGTCTTTCAAAGGTTTTTGACAAAGAAATGAGATAATAAAGAATCTATTTATCAGTAGCATGATGTATATTTGAGTATCAACTTTTGAAAAGTTTCCCAAGAAAGTTGAAAAACTCATTTTCTATGCACCTTCTTCATGATTTGGGACAGTGACCTAAGAAATTTGAACAGCCCAAACCCCAATATATATGAACTGAAGAAAATATACATTATCTAGAAGGAAATTAGGTTCTGAAACCTACTAATATCAGATGACTTAATTTCATGTATGGTCGCTAACATTTTATTCATTATATTAGGTAAGTCACGAAATTATTTTTTGTCGCTTAAAAATAATTGAACATTACTCTGTAACTGTAGAACCTATATATCTTATTAGTATAGTAAGTATAGTTTTGTGTCTTTACTGGTTACTTTAATGTGACAAAAAGTATTTTATGAATTTACTCATATTACAACGGATAAAATTCAGTTACTTTAACATGACAACAAATAATTTTATAACTTTACGGTTATAATGAATAAAGTTGTCCAACATATGCTTGGACATTTGTTAATGTTACAATCGTGCTTTGTTGTGGCAATAGATCTTTTATGTAAAAATGACTTATTCCCTATCCTTTGTCAAGTAAGCTGAAAAATGTCAATATGGTTTTATTCGAAATGAAAGAATCCATCCAAGCAGACTTATTCAAGTATATATAGAATATAAAAGCCCGACTTCAAGTTGCAAAAAAAATTGGGTGCCCAAGGAAGAAAAAAAAATAAAGGAAAAGGATAATAGTACTGGTGAAGTTAAAGATTATGAGGAGGACAGAAAAAGTATATCCACAAATATGAAAATTACTGGACACCAACGTGGATGATAAGGATTCCATTCCATATATCACCTCGATGATCATACGACATCAGAGTGCGGTGAACAAAGTATCTCGTATTCACATAGGGTTCGGAAAATGACCGCACCTCAAAGATATGATGTAGACAGCTTAATCTAATGCAGGTATTATTGACTACTTCCACGATTCGAGTCACACGGAGTTGTACCTTTTTCGCTTCCTTTCCTATTGCCATGTTATTTTCAAGATAAAGCTATTTAGAGTATATTTCTTCATCTTCTACTTTAGAACCTTAAACTTCAACCACAACCGCAGTGAACTCCTAGACAATAGTTTTTTAAAAAAAAAATCAAAAAACTATTCTTAGTTAGAATAGGTCGTCAATTCAACATAAGATATAGGGAGTAAAATCTCCGTTTTAACAATTTACAAGCAGAGAGAAAAATCATGTCTTAAAGCTATTATTTCTATTAAAAACAATACTACATCCTATTTGGTTGAATTCAAGGATCCAATTGCCAAGGCAAGGTCAGCCTACTTACTAGGATTAAATAGAATTTAATCCAAGATAATTGGAAATAATCACATAAACAGGCCAAGGGGTAAGTATATATATATATGTAGGATCATGAAAATGTTAATAGACTTTTTCTTCCAAGATCATAATCGGTCTCAATATAAACCCCAAAGATTATTTCATGTTCGAGGACACTTGGATAATCTTCAATTTATTAAACAATTAGAAGACAGAGATTGAGAAACATGCTGATGATAAAGAAGAAATGTAAATAATTAGAGGCGGAGGTAGAAGGTAACATATATGAGTTCCGTTATACACAGAAATTTTAGTCCAAACCTTGTGCTTGTATTAAATTATTCACTATATGTACAAAAATTAAATTTATAACCCAATTACTAACACCTGATGTCGTTAATTGTCCTAGAGTTTAAAATTCATAAAGTTAAAATTCTTATTTTGTATTTATGTACACAATGCAATTCTTGCTTAGGTCATGTCGTACTAGACTATTAATTATTGCGCCACTAAGGATTATATCTTTAACCAGATGTCTTACATTCCAACCTTCTGGAGCTTCCAGAACTTCCAGAAGAACATTCCAACCTTACATTCAAAATTAATTACGTTACTGACACTGAATTTCGAATATTAGATGGTTGAAAAAAAATAATACTATTAATCATTGCGAGACAAAGATTATCAAGGAGTAGCTGGACTTAACCCTGAACAAAATGTACAGCTATTGTACGGAAGAAAACTTAGCCAGCTAAACTGATATGGAACTTTGTTAAAAACAGGCAAAAGTCAAGAAGAAAGTGAGCAAGCCTTATCACGTTTAAGATTTGTCCCAAAAAGGAAAACACCCAACACAAAAAAAGCTACTTTTCATTTTGCCATGCACACAGCTTGATCTCACTCTCCTTCATTATATTATATACTCTTCAAAAACTATTTAAAAGTTGAAAACATGTAAAATAAAGAATAATTAGCTAGTAAGGGCGAAGCTAGTGTGTAGGTTACGAGTTTTGGCTGAAACTATTAATTTTGGTCCATATCTTTAGTCTTAAGCAATTCAATGTATATATGTAAATTATTAATTAAAAATTCACTAGCTTAAAAGGATTATAGTCTGAAATTGATAAGCTACAAATCTTGGAATAAACAATAGAACTACTTTTCAGCCGCTGGAAATTGATTTTACCATTTGCTTTTCAACCCCATTGGGAAGTGGACATTTATATTTTACGTTACACAACTAAGAAATACCCAGAACTCTAAGATCTAGCTAGATTTGACGAAAAAAATATGGGGTTAGGGAACAACTTTTCTTGGATTAAGGAAACCTTGTTTCTTGAAAACAATTAAGGAAACTTTGTTTAAGCTCGTTTGGTTGCTGGGATTATTAAGAGGATAATTCCGGTATAAAATTCAGTATTATTTTATACATAACAATCGAATTGGATTAGCAAAGCCGAAATAAAACAAGTAAAATGAAAATTTGCTTCATTTTAATGCAATGAACTAAACAAACCATAAGTACTTATAAATAATTTAGGAATTATTAATTCAAGAATTACAATTTTTATATCATAAAGGACAGTTCGGTGCACAAGGTATCTCGCATTCACGTAGGGTCCGCATCCCACGGGTGTGATGTAGACAACATATTCTAATGCAAGCATTAGTGGTTGCGTTCACAGCTCGATCCCGTGACATAGGGAGACAATTTTACCGTTGCTCCAAAGCTCCCTTCAATTTGTACATTATAACTCATGCATAATACGAATCGAGGGTTAATTTATGTAATAGTTGGGAAAAAAAACCATGTTGACTTTTACGAAAATTCCCATGGTTTTTAAATAATACTAACTATACAACATGCTGAAGAAAAAATAAGAGAACGCCTCTTCACCGGCCCACCATATTCTGTCTATTTCTGTCCCCATTGTTATATAAATAGAACAAACATGTTAGCTTTCTCTGCACCAAAACGTTCACTACATCTTCTCTTTATATCATTTTCAACACAACTATACATTTATTACTTTCCTTGTAGTTTTAACCAAAAAAATGGCGTCAAATTCGACGTGGACAAACCAGCAAAACAAGTTATTTGAGAATGCATTGGCCATTTACGACAGGGAAACACCAGACCGGTGGCGTAATTTGGCCAAAGCAGTAGGTGGAAAATCTGAGGAAGAAGTGAAAAGGCATTATGAAAAACTTGTTGAAGATATTAAACACATTGAGTCTGGAAATGTTGCTTTGCCTAATTACAACAACGCAAATAATGGTGGTCATAACAATTATAAAGGCTACAACTTCATGGATGAAGAACAAAGGTACGTAAATTAAATAAAAATCTCAAAATGTTATCAATTAAATATCTAGCTATTCCTCGATTTTGTGAATATTGCATGTAGTTATAGTGATCTGACAGCGTAAAAATTAATTGACATTGTAGGATATAAAAGTTAAAACCGACTAAGATTATTACTCGTCGTAGACATATATATCCTTGATTAGAGATTCAAACATGTTATTTCATGTAGAAATGTATACGACACATTCGTTATTCTTCTTTACTCACATATAAGTACATCCAAAACCTGTACTTATTTGTGTTTCTTATACTTGTTTCAATATGCAAACCACCTGAAAATATGTGTTGATAAATAGTACTATATAATTAGCTACCTCTTAGCATGGGCAGAGCTAGGTGGGGGACCGAACACTCCTCGTCGAAAATTACAAGGTTAAAAAAAATTCATATATATATATATATATATATATATATTAAATGTCGAATCCCCTTTCGCTTATTCGCGTGTTTACTTTTTAAATTTTTTGAATCTCTTTGGTGAAGATCATGCTTCCGCCACTGCCTCTTAGATTCTCTTAGGATGAGTTGAGATTGAATTCTTCTTCTTATGTTTTTTTTTCTTTCCATTTTGGACAGGCTGAAGTATTTGAAGCTCCAATAAAAGCAAGAAACAGTGAAGTACATTAAATTATTCAGAAGGAGCCTATTTTATATGAGCAGTGGAACTCCAAATGCAAAAAGCAAATAAGAGAAGGATATATTTGATTATGCCTTTCTTTTCTACACCTTTCATAATTATTTTGATTTTCATTGTTGGATAAATTTCCCTCGATAGCAACTATATATTCCAAATATAATTGTCCATGTTGTGGTACTGTTATAATGGTGTTATAATGGATTCCATGTTACAAATTTGTTCCTCTTTATGAAAGCTCATTAATAAAAAGTATAGCCAACATTAATGTTTGCATTAGTGGCCGCTTTCCCTAATATTCAAGAGAAAATCAAAATCGACATTCTTACTAAGTATGAGTCAGAGACGAGCTTCAACTTTGTCTTTTAGAACGCTTATGCATTGCATTATTCACCTTATATGCTCCAAGAAAGCATCTTTCACAGTACTGTGCACTCAATAACATTTCTTTTTAATATTTAATTGTTACTTATACAACATTTGGCTCATTCTTGGTGTTGTTGTTGTTGTTATTATTATTATTATTATTATTATTATTATTATTTCTGTGTAATATAAGTCTAAGATGAACTTAAATTGAGCTGTAAAAAGAATTTATATAGCAGACCCCATCTATTTGTAATTTAAGAACCTAATGACTTTGAGTATTATTATGTACTTATATATGTGTAGCTTGAAAATAATTTTTGCACATCTTTTGCTTGTGAACTTTTTATAGCTTTATTTCATTTTTAATAACTTTTTGCATTTTTAGACTAAATCGAGTTAGTATTAAAAAGAATATGAAAAAAAAAAGGATCAAGGGAATTTTGGTAATCCAACTGGTTGGCTATTTGAACTTTCACTTTATTTATTGGTAAGGATTTGATTCCCACCTTGTAATGTATAATAAAAGAAATAAGTAAAACGCACCACCTGCTACCCTACTGAGGAATTAACTTCTACATCACCTTGCGCCTTTGCCTTATGAAAAAAATGCAACTAAGATTTAAACCTTTGCTTAATTGGGATGCAGTAAAATAAGCCATAACCGATTATACCATCGGCAATGAGATGTAAACTGAGAGGATTTCTTAAAGTACAACAGCTGATAACCGATGCCCATTACTAGCTGATAAGCATAGGACATCCAGTACATAAAATAGCATTTATGATCTTTGAGTAAACATTTGGACTACATCTTAGAGATCACTGACATAGAACTCAATTCATGATGTCACTCAGAAATGTCATAAATAGGAATGAGGTCGGACCAACAAAAACGACTATGCCTTGGTCCTAAACAAGTTGGGGTTGATTAATGAAGTAAGACTTGACCCAGAAAAATTCAACGTCATATTAGAGAACCTCCTTTATAAGTCGTTCAGTCAGAGCTTTTGGGAGACCCATCACGCTATCAGTTGAACCAACCTGCCCAGATAAAAACCATCTTACAAATTATTACAAGTCATAAATATACAGAAACAAGAAAAAGAAAAAGAAGAAAAAGAATATTCTGGTATATGCAGAATATTTGACATCAGATGCTGATGCAAGTTGCCGTTTAGTACTAAAAGAGGCTTGGAGGGTCTTTTGGGAATGCTTAGCTGCAAGAACCAAAAGGAATTTTCCATCAGAAGGAAAGAAAGTTCTATTCCTTAAGTTTCTGAGTGGTTGGCAACCAAGTCACAAAAGCATTTCATTAAGGTTGTGGTACTTCTTGTTCTTTAGAGAACTTTTAGTGCTTGGTAAAATCAAGTAAAAGGTGTGACATGGCCTAAAGCCTAAATTTTTATGGAAATGCACTTCTAAAAGGTATCTTTAATGGTACATTTTATAGAAACGACAAGTTCCTTTCACGATTAACCAAACACTTTAATATCCTTTATATGCTGTAAGACACTCGTAGCTCTTTCATGCCTTATGCAAAAACACCTTCTCGAAACTCTAGAGCAGCTTTTCCATAGACCTAATGAGCATATCGGCTTCTTCTTGACAAGAGCCACTGGGAAGCATTCGTATACCTATCAGGACAAGAGTAGATTTGGATTTGTATCCGGGCTGAATATACACAATCTGGGTATCCTGCCTTAAATAAAAACCAGTGAAGTTCTTTCATTCGGTCAGGTATTCCAGAGATATTCTGTTCCATCATTTTATTTATTAAACTGGCATCAATGGCTTCACGAATGTTTAGGTCTCTATAAGGACAAAGGGTCAAACAAACAAATGTTAACACCATCATGACTATGACTTGTGTTGGATGATATTTGAGAGAAAGGTGGTGGTATAACACTCACCACTTCTTTAATATAAGGCAAAACAAGAGGATGTTCAATTATCAAGCCACCAGCTGCATAAAGAACTATCCCTTCCTCAATCTGATTAGGGAAAAAAAGATCTTAAGACAACAGACTACAGCATGCATCAACTGATAAGATCAATAACTAACAATTCAGCTGAAAGTTATACCAGTTTATCTATAACTTGATCTGGTATGTCATGGAAATAGATCTGCAACCAAAAGAAATGTCATTGCTCTTTTTGGATGACTGGCAAATAAAATTAAAAGAGATTATGCTGAAAATCTCAAGCAGTTAAGGTACATAAATAACTAAGCGCAAGGTATAAGAGGGATAAAACAAAAAGGGTCTCTCTTTCTCTAGCGATACACGAGTTTAACCTCCCATTAGCACAAACAATCTCACTCTGGCGAACCTTCCATCTCCAACTCATTGAAAGTCAGTTCAAATCACAACCATCAAATTAATTAGAAACTCTTGGATCACTGAGCATATTGTGGAAGGATTTACGGCAACTTCCAAAAATCTGCACTTAAATATATAAGAAGATGCTTGTATTGACTTTTCGGAAGAGGACGCATGGGAAAAGGTATGGCGGACTTCTTAATTCAGGGGGAAAATAAAAGTAAAGGTACAAATGGTACTTCCACTATTAGATTTCATTAGCTGCAGTATTGAGCTTGTTCTGCAATCCAAAATTCAAACCAGGCTAATGAAAAATATACCCTTAAGGCCTTAACCACCTCAGCAGATACGTCTTGAAAGAACTTACACAATCAGAAAGAGAGCCACTTATGATTATGGTCTTCACTTAGGTAACTTGTTATAACATTTAATGATCAAATAAAAGCCAAACAGGATAAAAGCGATTTTCCAGATTTAAGACAATAAGCAAATGTAGTGGATATCTGAATGAATCTAGAAAAAGGTCAAGCATTCTTGAAGGAAAATGCAAGTGTAAAAACTCAATAAGTTCATCTATCACTCGTTTGTGCTTTCTGGTAACATGCTTAAACACTTGATTAAGCTAAGCCGAACATACACCAAAAATTTCCAGATCATCAGACAATAGGTGCATAATTGTGGATGTAATAATCTTGAGAACCTAAGAACATGGTAATTGAATATGTCGGAAACAGCAATTAATACAGTGTCATCAGTATTTGAACACCATTTCAGCAGTTACGTAGTTTCAATCCAGCCCAACTTCAACTAACTTCTACTTTCCACAAACTCATCTCTGTAAACTTTAATTTGAATGGCTTTTGGGAATTGGAACCTTGTGAAGTGTTCAATAAGCCTAACCCAATGCGTAGAAGTCATTAATCAGCACTGAGCATTTTATACTTTTATTTATTAATATTTAAAATTAGAGGTATTCATTGCAAATTTGAGATTGCAAGTAGACGCAAATCCACTGAGAAGCAAAAATGCATAAAAAACCATAGAGAGCCATCTGATAATTAAAAATGAGAAGAAATCAACAGAGGTACCTCTACTTTGTCCCATTCTCCTCTTCTACATCCTGTTACCAGGTTTGTAACAAGAACAGAACTAACGGTTGCTGCATGTCCATTAGCGTAATCTGCAAATTGTCAATGTAAGACTAGCAGAATTACAAAACTAATATAGCAAGAATCAATTAAAGCACTGGTAAAACCTTTCATGAACTGTCGTGCTTCTGCTTCACTGGATGGTTTTTCCCTGACCATACCTTCATAGACCACCACCTCCAGATCATTTCAAGTTAGAATAAGATTAGGATAAGATTATTAACATAGAAAGTTCTCATACCATTAAATAGACTGAAAAAAACTAGAACAATTGGACAGAAAAAAAAAACCAAACAAGTAAACTAGAATGTCCCATCATCAGAATTCTTGTGAGAAGGCAATGGTGATAGAAAGATGATGCATCTAATCAAGTGGCAAACTGTTTTGAGAGGCGAAAGGCCGCGAAACAGATGGGGACTGGGATGAGAACTTGATCTTGCAAAATAGCAGTCTATTATTTAAATGGCTATGGAGATTCAGTGAAGAGAAAGATGAACTGAAGGAGGTGATCAAAGGCAAACATGGAGTGGAGACTACTGGTGCAATAAACCAGTCAAGACCTCTCATGGTAGGTCTCTGGAAACAAATCAGCAAATTAAGGAGTGATTTCCAACCTTTCACAAGACTAAAGGTGGGAATATTACAGGAATAAGATTATCGCAGGATAGCTGGACCGGATATGCTCCCCTCAAAGAGATAAATGGATATATTATCTAACGATCACGGAAGATGCATTATAGCAGAATGCAGCAGTGAAGGGAGAAGGAATCTGAACCGGAGAATAAACATTCAGGATTGGAAAATAGGGAGTCTTACTTTGCTGGTTGGGGTGCTGGGATTACATATGACTAAGCACCAATCAGATATAGACAGTGGACTTTGAAGGAAGATGGTATCTTCTCCGTGAAATCTTGTTATCAATTCATGCAAAAGGGAGAAATAGAAGGGTATAGACAGCAGCTACAAAGGATGATCTGGAAAACCGAGGCACATTCCAGGGTAGCATGTTTTGGATGGTTAGCTAAACATGACACATGTTAGACATCTCTTTCTACACAGTTAGAAGAAATGGAAGATCTGAAGCATGTCTCTAAACTTAATGGGGCCCGGTGGGTGATGCCTAATGGCCTTAACAGAGGAGTAGAAAGCTGGCAGGGACCTGCGGAAAGATCAGAGACAAGTGTGAAGAACCACTCCTTCGTGCATATCTTCACCAGTTTGGATAGAGATAAGTCAATAGACTGCAAAGGGAAAGCAACACCCATATCCTTTATAAAATTTCACTGTCTTTATCTATTGAACTTTTAGTAGATGATGACTTCGTAAATGAAAATTATAACATATTCGACTTCCTAGACTTTTTTCTTATAGGATAAGGTATTTTATTAATGATAAGAACCAAGAGGGTACTTCAGAAATATAGGAAGAGAAGATCAAGTTCCCA